TTTTGATTTTTGATTTTTTTTGCACCCTCAGATTCCAGATTTTCCAATAGTTGTATCTCAGCCAAATATTCCTAACAAACTCACTATAGCTCACGAAGACTTCCTCAACAAACAACACAAGTAAGTATATGACAACTTTCATTCTGGGTGAACTGTTCCTTTACAAATTGCAGTCATACATTAATAAAAGAAATCATTTCAATCTTACCAATGCATCGTGGTGGTTCAGGGCTCCATCCATTTTCTCTACACGAAATAGAAGCAACTCCTTCCAGTTTATAGCCATCTTCACATTTGTACACTATAAAGTTACCCAGTTTGTAGGGGGGTGATTTTCCATCGATTCTTTTTGCATTAGGAATTGTAGGCGTTGGACACCCATCTGGGAAAAAAAGGAAAGAAAAAATGTTTATGTAAAAGAATAGTACTGATCATTAAATATTTTATTCATTAACAGGAAGAAACTTTTTTTTCCTTCATCTCATGACTGGCATTTTAACCATAACTTACCAAAACATTTAGGCGGATCTGGTTTAAAGGTTCCATCCTCAGAACAATGAAGTGTTGATTGTCCTATAAGATTAAGTCCTTTGTTACATCTATAGGAGACTGCTTCTAAATAATCATAACTCTCCAAAGGCTCATCTTCAAGTTGCCCATTTTCTATGGCTGGAGGTGCTGAACATTTCACCGCTAAAGAGAAAAACATATCCAGATGAATAGGTATTTATTTCCAGGACAAAAAAAAAAAAATCTTTTAATACAAATTGGGAATGGTTTTGTGCTCTTCAATATTATATTTCATTCAAATGGAAGAACTAACATACATTCACAGAGAGGATCTCGGCCATCCCATCCCTGATCTCGGCATGTTCTTGTTGTTTCCTTACCTGCTAACATGTGTCTGAAAGCAATGATTCTCCTCTTACCAAATACTCAACAAACACAGCAAATCTAAATTCCACATGGTTTAAAACACTTAATCCACCACAAAGAAAGTGACTTCACTTACCCTTTGTCACAAACTGGTTTAGCCGTGTCGCCAAATAAATTCCCAGTCATATCATATCTCCCATTAAGGAAATCTGCAAGACTTCCACAGGATTTTCCTGTAATGTATACAAGATATTGATTGATTTAGAATTTGTGTTCTTCAAATACTGTCGAAAATAATGAAAAATCATCTTTAGTGTTGCTTCATTACATGATACAGGGATTTATTCTTGCCGTCACTGGCAAAACCACTATGAGCGATTTAAAGACTTCTTGAACTATACCATACATCCTTTCACATATCTAAATTAGACCTTTTAAAATACAATGTTCAAAGGCATTTTAAAGGAATTTACAAATGTACATTACTTAATATTTAATGACAGTACTTACTTGTGCAACTGAGTTCCAGACTTGTCCACTGGTTTCCCTCACAGGTAACTGATCTAGATGCTTTTAAGTCAACTGGTTTGTGTCCAATCATGCACTCAAATGTTACAGTGGATCCAACTAGGAAAATTTGAGTCGAGAGATGGTTTGCTGATAAAATGACATTTCTTGATGCAAAAGAAGGCTGCGTACATTCCGCTGTGGAAATAAACAAAACATATGTGTTACAGTAATCTGACACAGTACTATTTTGATCATCATAATTATTATTATTAGTACAACTTCTGCTCCATTCTATTCTTATATTTGGTAAAACAAAAAACATTACTAGGAGGTGATTATCTTTTTAAACAATAGTAAATTAGTATTACTTACTCGAGTAAGACGTGCAGTTGAAATTAAATTACAATGCTTGAATGGGATCAGCTAATTAATGTTTATTAACAGTTTTTACTTTTTTTTTTTTCATGTTGCTCATACTTTATCAAGCCCCCCCCCCCCTTTAAACATAGAAATATAAATTGTTTTCAAAACTTGTAAACTTTAGTTTTAGTATTTGAAAGAGCCAAAGTAGCTTTTGGGTAAAAACACAACTGTGTCTAATGCTACACACAATGGTGCGAACTACAACTGAGCAAATCATGTGCAGAAGTTTTCATACAGTTTTATCACTGTGATCATTGCAAAATGTATTAAGGTTACATAAATATTTGTGAACTTGGGACAAAAACACATCTGCTGGTTAAGGTCACGATTAAATCTGTCCTGAAATTATTGCAAGGACACCAATGCAGGCTCATTTAAATGCTAAAATTACTTTTGGGTTTATGCATCCATTTCATGATCAAAAGCAAATGGAAGTCATGTGCATGTACCATGTTTACCAGTGAAGATTTTGGTTATTTCTGTGTACAGTAGCGGCATGCTGCGACCCCGATTAGGATCAAGCATTAAGCTAAAACTTTTCTGTTTGCAAAGCATTATTAGTTTCTAGTATCAACATTATGCTACGAGGCTATACACAGTTTACAGAAAACACAAAGTCCCCTTTCTTAATATTATATTACAGCACCACACAATTCTTAGAATAGAAATATGTTATCCACCTTTGTCTGAGGGAATGTCTTACTGCGTTTTTAAACATATGGGCAGCAAATAATCCTCATTTGTCAGATTGACTGAATGAGCTATATGTTCTCCGTCATTCTTTATTTTTATCTATCATACGTAGATACACCCCATTTATATGTAGATATCACAAGAATATCAGTTTCAAAACCTCTTTTAAGTTCTCTGTGTTCCGTCAATCTAATTATTTTCTTTTACTTTTCTGCTGTAACAATATGAAAGACAAAAAAAAGACACTGTGCCCATGGTCTGCTATCATGATTTAATGAACAATATCCCACAAATAATTCACTGGAATGTACTAAGAATCTCCCATTTTGTAAATGCTTATTATTAGAGCTAATCATTAAACAAGTTTATTGTCAGTATCTGATTGTTTAATCTGTGGAAGTTACTCACATAATTCACTGAAAGCGTCATAGGGTGTAGGAAAAAAATGGATACACTATTCAAGCCTGTTTCCTGGGAAAACAAAAACCTTAAGTGGCTTAATGTGGGCTTGTTTTTCTAGTGAGTTCTGGCAACCCTGTTTATGTGTCATGAATATTTTTGTATGGTATTGCCGTTAGACAGAGACTGTAAATGTTAAATCCGTATATCTGATTAGTTAATTTTCTACACTAGCATTCAGAATATCTTAATGCTAACACACACACACACACACACACACCAAAAGCCACAAAGCTTTAAGTGTCGTAGTAATCGTAGTTAAAATTCATTAACGATAGATAGATAGATAGATAGATACTCACCTCGGACATGTTCACAGATCATAAGATAAGCAAGGAGAGCAACACGGGGACACAGCACCTTACAGCCCATCTTGTTTATGTCGGTGAATGCCAGCTCCAAACAAGGCCAATGTTATTTGTTTTTTCGCAACTAACAAATATAAAGACATCTTAGCGTAAGGAAATGCGCTTTTAAAATGTGTACTTTTTAAATAATTAAGTCAACACATTCAGTACAACAACAAACAAACAAAAAAAAGAAAAGAAACGAGGGATTCACATGAGAAAAAGCTGTTAGCAGCTAGCATAACAATCAAGATGGGGTTTAAAATTACATGCCACATTATTAGACAACTTACACATGCTTTGAACGAATGCAAAATAACAGGCTTAGTTAACCAACCAAGCTTCATTTAATTTTCTTATAAGGCTATTCGTTAACGTTACGCCAAAATAATGTGGTAACTTAACTGTTACGCAGCGCGCATGAAGGGCGTAATGGCCATTGGACACTGGCTTCATCTGTTAATTTAATAGTCGATAACAGAAACCCTAATCTAACTCGACACACGTAAAATACCATTGTGAAATAACAAATAATTTCACATAAAATTAATGTAGTCATATATATATATAATACATTTTTTGGGGGGATAATTTATTTTAAAAATGTCGAGGACCTTGTGGTAGATAGGCTGATCTATACACAGAGAAGCGAAAATTAAATCCTTGTTTTAAGCAACCTTACCTTCGGGTGTTTTTAGAAGATTTCTCGGTGTTCAGTGCTGGATTCAGACTGAGGCACATAAAGACCAGTTTAACTACCAGGAAAAGGTAAGGGTGGAGATCAACACTTGCTTCTCATGAAGTAATTTCCGTCTGAGGACGAGGAGGGCGTTACGAATGCGTCATAGATTTGAGAGGGTGGGAAGCTTCCGTTACGAGAAGGGTGACTAATGTCCGTTACCGATTCTGAAACGTCACTTTACGACTTGAAGGTTTATTATGGTTTATGGCAGCGGATTTTCGCCACAATGGAGTATAAAATATGATTCTGTAAATCATAATAACGAGAAACTTAATTATGAATATTAATAATGTCATAATGACGTAACATCTAAGAATGACAAAGTTTTATGTAATAATGAAAACCTTTTTTTGTTAAATCTAATAATAATAATATTTAAGAAGAAATGTAATAAGGAACTTTTACTGTTATAAAAACACGGATGTTTGAGTATTAGGCTACCGAAGCTGAAAGTCTCAAAATGAATAAAATATAGCCTACGTCAAGTGCCTTAACAAATATTATGTTATTAAGCAAATCCATTCAGTACGATTCTTGTGGCTCATAGCTGTGCAAATATTGTGTATTTAAGCATTGTATTGACAAATCAGAAGCCAAGTCCAAGAAACTATCAGTTTGATAAAGATCAGTAAATGAACAACGCAAGTGCATATAGGCCAAGTAGTGTAAATGATTCCTACCCATAACAACATTCCCTACTGACTACATTTAATAGCTCACATAAATATGTCATCATAGGCAAACAGCAGGATAGCTTCAAGATAAACAGACCCACACAAAGCAGTTTATTCAGTGTTGAATGTGCGGAAGTTTGAACAGGATTTGACTCAAGAATGGAAGGCAAGATAATCAGTGAATACGTCTTTGATTTGTTTCTCACAGAAAAAAAAAGTTTATATGAGAAGTGTACATGGCAACATAATAATTTGGCTTTGTTTGCAGATAAAAATTTACAAAATGTATATAATAAGCGAGTACACCATGAATCCATTTTCCAAACCGTGTTTTTGGCTTGTCCTGAATCACTACGGTACACCTATAGTAAGTGTTTTCATAGTTCATAAAACTGTATATTTACTCAGTATATGTCTAGAAGCTAACAATTAAGGCAACGGTAACACTTTTAAATTATTTAATTCTACTTAGTAAAATGCTAATGTTCATTTAAATGAACTAATTTGTTATCATGAATTTACAGTCTCATTTGATGCAACATTGCAGCATTCTGGGTCAATGTTAATTTATATGAGTACTTTTTTAACTTCAGGAGTTGTTTTAAATCATTTTTACAGATAAATCATTTGGATTGTAGAGTATGAATAGAGTTGGATTCAAGAATGCATCAAACTTACATTTGTTTTCCAAGGCATATCCCATCACACACAGACCCTTCTGAAGAGGGAGATATTTCATGTCAGGTAAGTGTTCTCAGATAGCAGTAAAATAAACTTTTGCCAAGTGGGTTATGCATGATTAACTCTGACAATTAGAACTTTATGTAAATTCAAACTTTATGCACTGCTCCTTAATTCTACTTTATGATGCTAAATGCAAAACAAAACACAAACTGCAATCCAACACAATAAATGTCTATCACATTCATAGTTTGACATAATTTGGAAAAAAATTAAATTAAATAAATTCTAGAAGCTAGTTACATTTATATTTACATTTATTCATTTGGCAGATGCCAAAAACAACAAGTGATTCATCATAAGATGGCAGTAAACAAGAAATGCCCGTTATACAAGTTTTCAGTCATCGTTCAAAATAATAAAAGCAAAGACAGGAAGATATTAAGGGAAAATAATAGCACAGAAAAATTGAGAGAATTTTTTATTTTTATGGAGGAGCCAGTTTGAAGATCATGGAAGAGGTGACTATTCAGTTGTTTCTTGACGCTTGTGAGGGATTCCTCACAATGTCCGGATGAAGTTAGGTACATTATTACACCAGCGAGGAACAGTGAAAGAAAACATCCTTGAGAGAGATTTTGTGCCTCTCTGCAATGGGACCACGAGGCGTCGCTCGTTTGTCCACAGGTTTCTGGAGGGGATAGACTCGTAAGAGTGAGCAGAGGTAGGAAGGTGTGGAGCCCCTGGCTGCTTTGTACGCAAACACCAATGGCTTGAACTTGATGAGAGCCACAACTGAAAGCCAGTGCAGTGAGATGAGATGAGATGACATGCACTTTTTTCATCTCGGTAAAGACTACTCTATTTGCTGCATTCTGGATTAGCTGCAGAGGTTTGTTAGAAATGGCTGGAAGACATGCCAAGTGAGCATGACACAAGTCCAGCCTGGACAGAGCAAGAGCTTGAACAAGGAGTTGTGTAGCATGATCCGATAGAAAAGGCCTGATCTTCCTAATGTTGTATAAGGCAAATATGCAGGACCAGGCAGTTTTAACAATAATGTCTGTGAAATTCAGCTGATCATCTATCACGACTCCAAGGTTTCTGGCTGTCCTGGAAGGTGTTATGTTTAATGCACCCAGCTGGATGGAGAAATGGTGATGAAGTATTGGGTTGGCTGAAATCACAAGCAGTTCTGTCTTGGCAAGGTTGAGTTGAAGGTGATGGTTCTACATCCAGTAAGAATTGACTGTTAGACATGCTGAGATTCAAGCAGCCATCATTGGATCATCAGGATGGAATGAGAGGTAGAGTTGAGTGTCATCAGCATAGCAGTGATATGAAAAGCCATGTTTCTAAATGACAGAACATAGTGATGCCATGTGGATAGAGAAGAGAAGTAATAATAATAATAATAATAATGCATTTTATTTATAAAGCACTTTACATTTACATTTACATTTATGCATTTAGCAGACGCTTTTATCCAAAGCGACTTGCAGTGCATTCAGGCTATACATTTTTTTTTTACCAGTATGTGTACATTTAAAAGAAAATCTCAAAGTGCTACAAAAGAGTCATAATAGAGCAATTAGAGCAATTAAAAATTAACACAGAAATTTAAACATTAATAGAAGTTTAAACATTAAAAGACTTTTTAAAAAGAAAGGTTTTTAGACCCTTTTTTAAACTATCAGCCCTTAGATGTTCAGTGAGGGCATTCCACAGGCGAGGGGCGGCGGCACAGAGGGCTCGGTCCCCAATGGTGCGGGTCTTAGTCCTAGGGGGGAGGAGATGATGAGTGTTTGAGGAGCGGAGAGAATGTGCTGAGATCTGTGGAGTGAGGAGTTCTTTAAGGTAAGTGGGAGCATTGCCATGGATGCACTGATGTGTGAGGAAGGAGACTTTGTATTCAATCCGGGCGGAAATGGGAAACCAGTGTAATGATTGAAGAATTGGTGTGATGTGTTCATATTTACGCACTCTCATCAGGATCCTAGCGGCACTGTTCTGTATGTGCTGGAGTTTCTGGATGCTCTTGCCAGAGATCCCGATGAGAAGACCGTTACAGTAGTCCAGTCTGGAGGAGACAAATGCGTGAACGAGTTTCTCACCGTCATGTAAGGTGAGTGTGGGACGGAGTCTGGCTATATTCCTAAGGTGGTGAAAAGATGTGGTCCAAGACCTGAGCCCTGAGGCACCCCAGTATCTAGATGTTGCGGCTTGGACAATGCACTCCTCCAAGATACCTTGAAGGACCTATCTGAGAGGTAAGAGTCGAACCACTGGAGTGCAGTTCCTGAGATGCCCTTTGCCATGAGGGTTGACAGGAGGATCTTGTGGTTAACCATGTCAAAAGCAGCAGACAGATCCAGCAAGATAAGTATTGAAGATTTAGAAGCTGGTCTTGCCAGTCTTAGGGCTTCAACGACCGAGAGCAGGGCAGTTTCGGTTGAATGTCCACTTCTCAAGCCAAACTGGTTGCTGTCCAGAAGGTTGTTCTGTGTGAGAAAGGCCTTTCTTCTGCCTCTGAGAGTGGAGAAAAGGACATGAGCGAGTGTATGTTTGCTGGTAAGATGTGTTTGACAGTTTGTGATATGGAGAATTGTGTACTGATGGTTGTAATATTATTAATGAACAATGTGGCAAAGTCATCAGCCATTAGAGTTGATGAAGGAGGGTGAGGAGGAGGAGGACAAAGGAGGGAAGCTAATGTTTTAAAGAGCATGCGAGAGTTAGACGAATTGTTAATATTGTTGTGGTAGTATGTCTTTTTAGTAGGGTTGGGTATCACTTGGGGTTTTTTGGATACCGGTGCCAAATCGATACTTTTAAAACGGTTCCGGTGCCTAAACTTCAAAAATAAATAAATAAATAAATAAAAAATCCCCCCAAAAAATGATGGATTGTCCATTAGAATAGAAATAGAATAGAGAGTGCAAATGCTAGAGGGTCAAGTTTTTTAATAAAAAAAAAACAAGCAGATAAAATTAGAAGTAGCATTAGAATAGAGAGTGCTAGAGTTAGAGGGTCAAATGAAGATGAAAGAGATGTGTTTTCAGATGTTTCTTGAAATTATCAAGGACTCAGCTGCTTGGATTGAGCTGGGAAGGTCATTCCACCAGGAGGGAACAGTTAATGTAGAAGTCCATGAAAGTTTTATCATAGGTAGAATGCAGAATGTTTCAATACAAGCATTTCAGTCAAGTGTAATTTATGCAATATTTAAAACCTTTAACCCACTTGGGAAAATCAATCCATGGCAACAGTTTAAAACTAGCCCAATTCTGTGGAAAAAAAACTCGGACTTGGCAACCCTGCATCCAAGAGCTACCGGAGTCAGCTTTGACTGATCACAGGTCGAGAATAAGGAGAGATGACTGACAAGACCATGCTGGAGTATTTGCTGCTCAACAGATTCTGAGCTCATTGACAAATATCTGATCTTGTAAGATGTGCTCCCTTTACACAGAGTGCGTGTGATCGCGAAATCGAAAGTGAAAGTAAACAGCGCAAACGCTCATTCAAAAATATTTAAAAATACACCGCATCCTGAGAGCGGCAAAATTATATACAATATTAGAATGTTTAAAGGAGTGGACACAAGCCTCATCAGATCACAAAAGGAAGCATGTGACTGGTGTGGAGTAAAAAGGTTATAATTTTCTCTTTTGTTGGACAACA